ATTTATTTCAATCAGGAATTGGACTGGCATTCAGAAACAGCTGGTTAGTCTTTACTACAGGTAAACTCAGGAGCTAGAGGGCAGTTGGAGGGAATGGTAGAAAGCCAGTTGGCAGGCAGACAGAATAAAGCATTGATGCAGGAGGAGGCAGAGAAGAACCACTTAAAGATCCTGAGAGCATTCCAGTCTCTTCATGGGGCCCTAAACCAAATCTATACTTGAGCTCACCAAGACTTTCCTGTGCCCTTAGGATCAATTCTCCTTTCTACGTGTAAGTTAATTTTAGATAGAGATTGTGTTCTTGCAACTAAGAATTATAATACATTTAGGAAGGGACTAGTGTTTAATATTTTTTTCAAGGCTGTAGATAAGTGTTACTAATAAATAGAGAGATAAACCAATCAAGAGTGAACATATCAAAAGACTATCAAAGTAAATGTCTGTGATTTAGAGGTCACTTTCCAATGTTTCTCTGCCACAGACATTCCATGAGACTTCCAGGACCACTTTACTACCAGGATCACTTGCAAGGCACACTCAGAAGTATCTGGTTATATACAGGTGTGCAGGGAGAACCTGAGTACTTGAGGGCAAGGTGCAGCCACACGGCTCTGCAAAACAGGCAGGGGACAAAGTGGGCTAGCACCAGGATACCTAAGGACATGTTGTGTTTAATAATAAAAAGGTCCATAAAGGCTGTGGGCACAAATATGAGCAACAGCTTTTGTTTGGAGCAGGCTAGGAACAGAACAGATGCTGCGTCAACAATGAGACAGCAATAGCAAGTCATATCAGTGTTAAGTAAGTAGAAAAAGGGTTCTTTGGGGCCGGCCCAGTGACGCACTGGATAGTGCGCCGCTTGGGAAGCGCGGCGGCGCTCCCGCCCGAGGGTTCGGATCCCACATACAGACCGGCTCCCGCTCACTGGCTGAGCGAGGCGCGGGAGCAGCACTGAGGGTTGCAATCCCGTTGCCGGTCCCCGGTCCGGTACGGGGGCAACACTGAGGGTTGCGATCCATTGCCGGACACGGAAAAAAGACAAAAAAAAAAAAAAAAGAAAAAGGGTTCTTTGCAAACAAAGGTTGCCTCCACTTACTTCTCCCACACAAGATAGTGAACTCTTTGAGTGCAAGGTCTGTGACTCTTTACCACCAGTGCCTAGCATGTGCCTGGTATACAGCAGGCAGAGTGAATGCTGAGTGAGTGAATGGAAGAATTAACAGCATTTTACAAAAACAGATCTACAATTCCTTGTCTTAAACCCCTGAAGCCAGATGTTTCAGAATAAGGAATTTTTTTAGATTTTAGAAAGGCAAGAATCATGCATATTACATGACATTCCCCACTGGGGTCTGTGACAGTACCTTATAATCAAACATTCTATAATGAAACATAAGCATTGTCATACTACATGGAATGTACTAGTCTATAAATAGCCTCATATCAGTCTCAGGTCAGATTTTGCTACCAAATAAATTTTGTCACCAAATTTCCCAATTAAAAACCATCTGTATTTCAGAATTACGGATAAGGTCTGCTGAAGATTGTGATTGGAATCCTGGAAAAAATGGAGCTCACAGTCTGTGAGGGGAAGCAGATTTGCAAGCAGTTTAATTCAATGTGATAAGGCCAAAAAAAGGAATTACCAAGTATTGAAAAAACACAATTAAATCTATCTGGTAGTATGTGAGAAGGCTAAGCTCATTCTAAAGAATGGGAAGTTTTCCAAAAAGACAGAAATCCAGGTAAAGGGAACAAGCACCAGCACATAATGGTGTGAAAGGGCAACCCTGCTGCAATTTCAAGATTAAGTGTGTGAACACCTGAATATACATACGTCAGCATTCCTGCCATTTTCTATGGGATCTAACTGTATTCTTCAAGCTTTCAAATCAACGAACCAGATGGATACTTTACAACAAATGATAGTTCATATGCTTCAGACACTCATCTGAGAGGACACCCCATGAGAAATCTACTAGAACGGTAGTTCTCAAAGTATGGTCTCCTAACTAGCAGCATCAGTGTCACCTGGACTCTAGTTAGAAATGCAAATTGAGCCCCACACCAAAATTACTAAATCAGAAACTCTGGAGGTGGGGTCAGTAATCTGTGTTTTAATAAGCTCTCAAAATGATTCTGATGCATGTTAACCTTTAAGGACCCAGATCCAGAATAAACCTTTTTCACAGTGTGATTCTCAGACCACCTGCTTAGACTTGTTAAAAATTGTATCTCTTGGGAACCAGCCCAGACCTCTTAAAGCAGAATCTGCACTGAAGTGGAGCCCAGACCCTGAACATCTAATGAGCATTCCCAGTGATTCTGATGCACACCAAGATTCAAATACCACTGCATGAGATTATCAACTCCTTAAGGGCAGGGACTGTCTTGTTCACAGTTTATTTCTAATAGCTGTGCCATAAGAGATACTCAGTGAATGTTTTTGAATGATTAGCTAGCTCCACAACAACTTGCACATCACTACAGTAACTGCCAAGGCTGCTGAGAATTATAGGGGTAAATGTTTGTCCATTCCTTTTCTTGCCTCTCAAAACAATAAAGATTTTGCTTGTTTAAAGATGGTGGTCAGCAGCTTGCTAAGAATAGTTGGACTGTTTGTTAACTGATGAATGAAAGCCATCTTTGTTTTTAAAGAGTTGGTTTTAAAGAAAGATGACTATGGTTTGGGGGAGAAGAAAGGAAGCTGAGGGCCTTAGTACCTCAACTACCTAAAGTTCAGACTAATTTAAATAAAAAAGTTGACAGACATAACTATTACCCTGGGGAAATATGATCCATTTAGAGACACTATTCTGGCAAGAAAATTCTAAGAGATGGCTTTCAGCACCTGCACCCTTTGTTTAGTTCTGGGAGAAAGACAGCCAAAACAACAAAGAAAGAGACTTTTAGAATTTAGGCTCCTTACCATTAAACACAGATCACCCACCAAATTAGTCTAGTTGAGGGCAAAAGCTGATTCCTCAAGAAATAAAATCTTTTCAGATTTCATAAATAACGGTGAGATTAAATTGAAATGGTTAAGGAAATATACACACACCCCAGAAATTAAATAACTGACCTTGTAGACACACATATTTCAATTAATAGTCCCATTTTTTAAAACTGTCAATTTATTTTCTACCCAATTCAGTATCGATAATATACAAAAGGATATAAACAGATTGTCATTAATATTTACAGGAAGACACACAAAACAATTACCAAGGAACAAATACAGCAAAGTAACAGGAGTTGCTTATCCATATCTACTCCACTGTACAAGGTTTATTCTAGGACAGTTTCCCAGTTCTCTAGGAAAAAACTTTTATGGATTTATACCTTTTATAGGGGTCAAGCAAACATTACAAGAGCTGATATGATCAAGGTTTGTACTGATAACCAGAGAAAGGCTTTTAAAGAACTCTATTTAATCTTCAGGCCAATGTTACAGCATCAGTGCGCTCATAGGCAGGATGTGACTTCATCAAAGGAAATGCTTCTCTCCTCTTGGCCTCCCTAAGGTCCTCCTCCTTGTACACAGGAGATGGTACTCCCTTTAATATCACCCTATCCCCAACAGATGGTGTGTAGGTTATCAGCACACAGTGGAGAAAAAGAACTGACCCCCTTATCAACTAATTACAAAGCATGTCTCGGGAGGCAGTTTCTAAATCTCCAATAGGCAGACATTATGTGGCCTGTATTTCATACACAGCACATTCTTTTGAGAGAAAATGGGGATGACCATCTCAGAAACATTCACATTTCTCATCAAGTAGGAGGGTACTTCAAACAGTTCACAGAAAAATAGAATTAAGAGATAACATGAATCTTTCCATGAACAGTTCGAAGTACCTTCGTGTACCTTTGCCCAAAGTCTAGGGGAAATGGCAAGAACCTAAATGTAACCAGACATTTTATACAAGTAAGTCAAAGTCTAAAGGAACCATCCCATCTTCAGTCTCAGGAATTAAATGGGTTAAATACCACAATTCTTCTTTAATGGAAGCAAAAGATTAAAAGTCCTTGTCTCCCAAAATGCCTCAGCCAGGGGCAGCACAGAAAATGGAATATAAAAGTCTTAACAGCTTCAATACGTGGAACCCAACAGTTCTCATTCAACCTAGCCACAATTTTCTGGTCATTTGTAAAAAAAAAAAAACCTACCACATTCAAAATTCAACTTTCACATTCAAAAAAAGAGGTCAACTCAACTGCAGAGGCAAATGGCAATAGCCTAAATACACAAACACATGACTACTGGAGAACAGTCCCATGAAGACACTTTAAAGACCAGCAGGATTCATTTATAATTTGACATGTGCTGGTTGAAAGGGCAATAGGGCCTGGAGCTAAAATAGTCTATTGTAAAGATATAATAATACATCAGTGAATTGGACAAATGGTAGACATACATACCACATTAAAGATTCATATACAATACTGTGCTGCCTTTAAAGAAAAAATTGGGGGACACTAAGGGAAAAGATAATAGAAAAAGAACTACAATGGAGCATTTCAGTCCAAAGCTAGTCCAATGAATATCTATCATTAGGATTTCCAATCTTTCATCTCCAAAGAAGTTGTTCTAATAAATTATAAAATACCTCGCTCACATTTGGGACATACCACACACTCCTAAGTACAGTAATTCCTCTGACGTTTTGGTTTCACTTGCTATTTGATGACTAAGTTGTTTTGGACTATAAAGATTTTCTTAATATATTTTAATTAGCCAGTTAACACAACAGAGGCTGCTCCCTCTGTGAGGCCACACAAGCTTCACAAAATAATTTGATCTAATGAAGATGAATGGTGGGGAAAAAAGGGAAAAGTTTCCTGTTTTTTCTTGCAAAACTTTTTCTCTCACTTGAAAAATTCTGCAATCACTTAATGTTTTATTCCAGAAAAAGAAAGCAAAACTAGTTGGGAAAACACCCATATATTTACTGTTTACTGGCAAGATAAATAATAAATTCATAGATGTCAGTTAATTGTTTTTCAAAAACCAAAGGTGAATGTTTAATCTTGCAACTTAAGAACTGAATTTTTCCACATTCCTTTATAGAGTTAGCATCTGTAAATTGAGACTTTTTTTTGGACAATCATGCAAATTTAATTTGTCCCTGGAAACAAAAACACAACCTAGCAGATTAGCAAAATATGTCCTTTAGACAATATTTTTTCTGTGAATTTTTCTCCACTGTTACCATTTTTATCCCTCAGTAAACAAAAACTACTCTAAAAAAGTTTATGCATTTCGAGTTTACAGAAAGTAAACTCTTAGAATGATTAGCAGACTGTATCAAGCCAAACTATTTTAACTTCTGAACTGGCTCCACTCTTCTCAAAAGTAAATTCTAAAAATTTTTGAGTTGTTATTATTAAGTTATATGAGCTGGAGACATTTCTACTGCTATACATGCTTCTGTAAAATTGAATAAAGATTCTGTTATACCACACACACAAAAAGCAATCAGTATAGAAAAGGCAGTTTTTGGTTATTCTGTTGAGAATTTCTTTCCATGATTTCTTCCATTAAAGTATAGTTTTCAAAGCAACCACCACGACAAAGGAAGCATCTAATTAGTCCATTTTCTTCTGATCCAAGAATGCTGAACATTTACTGTCCCATCTGTAGTTGTATCAGCAGTGTAATGAACACAGTTTATATTACTTAACTATTCTTTGAACTCCAAGAACTGTTGAAGTCTTTTCTGATGTTCTGCAGATGCTTGCACAGCGCTAAATGAAACATAAATTCAAAGCATAAGCTTTATTTTACATTAAGCGTATTAAGTGAACCACAGGGCGCAGAGTCAATATTTTTCAAAACAATTAAAAATGAATAGAAATCTCCACGTATTTAGTACTTCTGAAAAAGCTAGATGAAAACCCTTTTTAATCTAATGAAGAGGAGGGCTTGTATTCAGTAATGGTGCACTTCTACCTTCTAAAAGACCAAAGCAAATTAAGACTGACAAGTGAAGCCATCGACTTTAACCTGCTCTGCTGTGGAACCTGCTGTGCAGAGTCCCAGGCCTTGGAGTAGAATTTTCTGGATTTTATTATTTTATTTAAACCAGATTCCAACATTATCTTTGAGTTGTAGAATATTTGAATTGCCTTTAACATAAAATCCTTTAAACTAAAATGTTTGGTTAAAACACAATAGACTCCATTAATCGTTTTCAAAGGTAACAGCTTGGTGGTTTAGATTTACTTTTCCCTTTGAACATAAGTTATGTTTTAGATGGGGACAGAGTTCTTTCTCCACCCTCGCCACCACAAAAATACATTACCTTGACAAAATTAGGGCAAATATATACTAAAACTAGTATAAAACTTTCTTTTAAACTTTTGGACAAAAGTTGAACACAATGAAAGATTCTGGTTTTCTAGTTCTTGAACAGTAATATATCATTAGTGACTGGTAAAATTCCAGATAACTAAAGGTCACCACTTTTTAAAGTGCCAAAACAGTCTTATTTTAATAATTTTGCTACAAGTCATCCTAAAATGCCTTATACACATCTCTGCTTTCTTAAAACATGTAGCCATCTCTAATTGAACCATTTCAAGCATTTCACTGTGCAAAGATGCCCTCTAGGTGCTAGCGAGGCTGTCATCTTTAACTAAATGGCTCTGAGCTTTCCCAAACGTTAACTCTGCAGCTTTTCCCATGACTCTTCTCTCTGCTTGCAGGTAGTGACCTAGCCCTTACTATTTACTGTTGTACTCCCAACAGCAATCTCTGTCCCTCCGATAAATTTTGGTAAATTGTAGACTGAAAAACCAATAAATCAAATTTGTCTAAATTAAGAGTAAATAGGGGTGGGGGGGAGTGGGGAGATGTAGGTCAAAGGATACAAAGGAGCAAATAAGTAGGATAAACAAATCTAGAGATCTAATGTACAACATGCGGGCTACAGTTAATAAAATTATATTAGGGATTTTTGGTAAGTAGATTTCAGCTGCTCTTGTTACACACATACGAAAAGCAATTATGTGAGATGATAGGTTAATTGCTTCCCTACAGTAACCATTTCACTGTCTATATGTATCCCATGACATGTTGTAAATATCAAATATATACAATTAAATTTAAAAAAAAAAAAAGTAAATAGGTGCTGAATAAATGTTTCCAATAAGTAACTGGCCTGTATTAATTTTCACGGCTAAAGAGGTTACTTCATTTACACCTGGTTTTTAGGGGTGGAGCTTTGGGTAGTGAATAATTAGGTATTATACGGTAATAATAGTTGTCACAATAATACGTAATGTACAATGGGCTGTATGTATGTATGATCTCATTTTATCTCTAGTAATACCATATGAAGGGAAGTGGATTTGATAACATTCCTTTTCATGGGAGCATAAACAGTATCAGAAAGGTTCAGAGGTAAGGGGAGACAAGACAGCCTCTTGGTTAAGAGTATAGACACTGCAGCTAGAATTCCAGGGTTAAAAAGATTTGGGTCTGAATCTGGTTCTGCAACTTACTACCTGCATAATCTCGGATAAGTTACTTAAATCATTAGATAACCTGCCCATAATCAAAGATAGTCAGGGATGTAGCCAGACATAAATCCAGATGTTTTAACTCCACATCTAATATTCTTTCCACCATACCATCCTATCCTATATTTGTACAAAATAGTTTCTTCTGATCTCATCAGTTTTCATGCATATTATAAAATCTGGCTCTTCTCGGAGAAAAGAAACTAAGGCAGAATTTCATTCTTACAATTTTTAATCAGCCACCTATTTCTCTTTCTTATCTAGTAAGTCCCTATTTTCCCCTTTTCTCCCTGTTTTTGTTCCATCATGAATACACATCATACCTACTTCACTCTAAATTCATCAGTGAGTGTTTTCTCAGCATATCCTACATACCAGTTTATATTGTGGAGGCACTCTAGTGTTGTAGATGGAAAGGCAGATTTTTAAGAGCAGGAAAGACCAGATTTTCAGGTTCACGTTCTAACATGCACTAGATTGTGCTATTAGGCAAGTTTTAACCTCTGTGTGCCTCAGTTTTCATATCTATACAATTGCAATCTCTATCCATCACAAGGTTGTTGAGAAGAGTTAATGAAAAAACATATATAAAGTACTAAGGGTACTGTCTAGAATAGCTCTGTCCAATAACACTTTCTGCAATGATGGAAATGTTTTATACTTATGCTGTCCAATACAGTAGCCACTAGCCATTTACAGTTACTGAGTACTTGAAATGTGGTGGTGGGACTGACAAACTGAATTTTTATTTAACTTTAATTAATTTAAATTTAAATAGCCATATATGGCAATCATATTGGATAGCACAGGTCTAGAAGGCACTCAATAAAAAGATTTTTTGTTTGTTTTTAAATAAATTAATAAACTTCTTAACAATAGAGAATTATCTACAGCTCTTATGTATTCCTACACAGAATCAAAGGGCTCCATAAATACTTGCTACTGCTGCTGCCTGGTATCATGGAAGCAAAAGGAAATATATGACTTGCTTTTAAAAGCAGGTGGTATGAGGAAGTCCTAAACTACGTATTGACTGCATAACAAAAATCAGGGCAATCTCCTGTGCATTCTAAAGTTCATTTATAATTATGATAAACACAGTTTAGTTAATAAACTAGTATCCCTCATCCTGCCTAGCTACTTCATTTCATGAGAGGAAAGCAGTAAACATCAACAAAACTAAATATAAACAGATTTGGCCTTTGTGGTTTTCTCTCTGTTTTTGTTTCTAAAGGTGTTGTGATCTGTTGGTGTTTTTCCAGCATGATTCACAAAGCAGCAGGGACTCATTTATGGAATACTCTGCTCACCCCAAGTCTTAATTTGCTGACCAAGATGTAATAACAGAATTATTTTTAATATTCTTTTTTGGAAAGGTACTCAGTGTTTTGCCTTTTTTCTACCTTAAGGATTTTTGGTATTTAAAAAAAAGAAAAAAACCTAATTAATTACATTTGCTTCTTTAATAACTTTCTATCCTTTCTTTTGTTTATCTGAAATCCCCAAAGCCAAATTTTAAAATATAATATTAAGTCTAAATTCAAGCTGTTAATTCACAATAGTAAATAATCAAAGTCCCAAAAGAACGCTTTCAACATGTAAGCCTTTATATTTCTCATACCTGTTTCTCAGGGGAACTCCTGAAAGTGGACTATTATCATGAATCAAAACAGGTAAACTTACTTCAGATGTTCACCAAATGTAGTAGTTATTCGATAGATGGCAGTTTTCAGTGATGCTCTAAATGCAAATCTTAATGTTTTATAAGAAGTGTCTACAAGGCTTCCTGAAATCCGAGGTGGTTTACTGGAAGCATGAGGAAGCTTGAAGTACTTGTCAACCGCCTAGACAAAGAAAAAAAAAACACAGACACACACATTAGTTCAGATCAAGAAAGCCAAATTAGTCCAAAGAATTAACAAGTTTTTATATAGATACACAGATAGATACACACATATAAGAGACATGCTATAAAATATATTTCTTATTGTGTATCACAATCAAAACAGTTTGAAAAACAATGCAGTAGAGGCTCAGCTACTTCAGCAGTTACCAGGGCCCAACACACATCCAGACCTGCCCTCTAAGACAGCTGTAATTCAAGGTCCTTGAAAATTGCAAAGCTGGGAAGTAAGACACTAATATCCTACTTTGTTTATGATGTGTGACAGGCAGAAGTACCTTTATTATGGATTTCAGCAAAAAAGACCAAAACTTTATACTTTACATAAATAAAGTTATTAAACTAATTAGTTTATCTTCTTTTTCAATTATAGATGATAAAGCATCTACAAATAAGAGTAGGTGGGGGCAAAACAGTGAGAATTCCCAGGTGAAACTGATTCTACTTATAGTTGATAGAATAATAGTGATTTAGAAATATCTTTTCAATGCTAAAGGCAAATAATGTAATTTTTAAATGATATAGCTACATTGAAAAGTAAAGGTGAAATTTAAGTGTTTTAATCTATTACGGCAAGATAATTTCTAAAGTGACAGGAAATAACAGTATAATCACATTGTTTATAGTTATGGATGTACATACCAAAAAAAAAAGAAAACAAAAATAATTAAAATTATTTCCACCATCATGTTTTTTTGTGTGTGTGTCTTTTTTTGTGTCTGGCAACGGATCGCAACCCTCAGTGTCGCGCCCGTACCGGACCGGGGACCGGCAACGGGATTGCAACCCTCAGTGCTGCACCCGCACCTCACTCAGCCAGTGAGCGGGAACCGGTCTGCATGTGGGATCCGAACCCTCGGCGGGAGCGCAGCCGCGCTCCCAAGCGGCGCACTGTAGCAGTGCGCCACTGGGGCGGCCCATCATGTTTTTAATTAAAGAGCTCTTTCATGTCATCTGAGTACAGTCTTTTTTATTTCAGAATCCTATTTTTATTTCAAGGATGCGATATCTTCTCTTATGTCTGAGGATTTTGATGACAGCTTTTTTATATTTTTTGTTTTTTAGTTTTTTTATAGTTTCTTCCAAACTGCTTTCCCTCCTTTGGTTCTGTTGGTCTCTACCTTCTGCTTTAGAGACTTTCCTCAGAAATCTGGTGATCCATGGCTCACACCTCCTAAAGAGCTGACCCAAAGCACTGAGTGCACGGTTGGGGATTACTGACAAACTTCACTGTAGATGATACACATAAACTTTTCTGGGAGTGAACTCCCAACTCAATCACTTCACGATCTTTCTTCTTTGTCAGTCTCCAGAGAAGAGTCTTCTAGTATCCTGGCTGGAGGGCTGGCCCCCAGTGTGCTGGGAGCCAAGTGGGGAATAGGGCTATTAAACTCATCCCTATGCTTTTAGCACAGTACCCACAACTGTGTCTGAACTCTTCCAGTCCAGAGACCTTGTGTTCTACTCTGTCTAGAGGGTAAACCTCAGAATGGAGTATAAGAGCAATTACCCAGCAGCAGAGGATCTAAGGGTCTAACTGGTTTTCAAATAGCTTTCACCCAAACCTCCTTATTTTAGAACCTGTCCCTTCACCCTCGGATCCAGAGGTACCTGGCACTTTTCCCACTGTCAGCTTGGGAATTGCCTCTGAGAACGGCTAAGGTAGTTATCTCAAACATCTGCTTTGTAGCTTCAAAAAATTTACTGCTGTTGTGGACTCTCTTGTTTATGAATTTATGTAGTTTTAAAGTTTTTACCAAATGCAGTATTTTTGAAAACTTTTGACAGCTCATAATTTTGTTGAGGCGAGTATAGCCATTTTCTTTACACCATAACTGCAAAACATTTTCATTCTTAGGTTTATAAATACAAACTCAAATAATCAATTCAGTGACTTTTTAAAGATGTTGGAAATGTAAAATTACTAAAAACTTATATCTTAGTTTTGAAAAGTGTCCAATGGACCTAAATGAGTAACTACAAGAGAATAAATTTTATTAAATTTTTTATAAGTAATTTTTCTCTTTGTTCTTTGAAAGACTTCCAAGAAAGAATAAAAGTCATAAAATATCAATCTTTATAAACCGTTAGAACTGCTCAAAAAAGGGCCGGCCTGGTGGCGCACTGGATAGTGCGCCGCTTGGGAAGTGCGGCGGCGCTCCCGCCCGAGGGTTCGGATCCCACATACAGACCGGTTCCCGCTCACTGGCTGAGCGAGGCGCGGGAGCAATGCTGAGGGTTGCGATCCCGTTGCCAGTCCCCGGTCCGGTACGGGGGCAGCACTGAGGGTTGCGATCCGTTGCTGGACACGGAAAAAGACAAAAAAAAGAACTGCTCAAAAAAGAAAGAAACGATAACTTCGTATAATGTATGCTATACGAAGTTATTACGGCAATGCTGAGGGTTGCGATCCCGTTGCCGGTCCCCGGTCCGGTACGGGGGCAGCACTGAGGGTTGCGATCCGTTGCTGGACACGGAAAAAGACAAAAAAAAGAACTGCTCAAAAAAGAAAGAAATTAGATCCAACCGACCCTAGTGGTATAAAGGGGTTTAATCAAGAAGGAGAGTCTTTTGGAGCTAATGTGTCCTTAATACATCTCTAATCCTCACTAATCTCCTTTTATAACAAGGATAAGCGGGCCTCAGGTTCAGAGACTTCAGCAAACAACACCATCTAGCTAGAATTGAAAATTACTAACTTTTGTCACTTTAATTACCTTATCCTCAATTCTGAAATCCACAAAGCCCTGAAAACAAAAAACTTCTGTAATTCTTTTAGTGGCAAAAGCTGACCTGACCTGAACTCTTCTGGCAGTAAAACCTGACCTGAGCTGACCCAGGCTATTTCCAGTCTTTGTCCCACTTAATATGAATATTCAGATGTTCCACTGGAAAAAAGCATACAAGGGGATTCTATCTGATACCACTAGGAGTGTTACGTAGTATAAGATATATACTATGTAACACTATTAAAATCCAAAAATATCTGAATTCTGAAATATATGGTAGGGTTTGAGATGAGGGACTGAAGACACATACTCTATTTGTAGCAAGTCAAACTAATTTTCCTTTTACAATAAATTTATGTTAAAAATAAAGGATTTAAAATACTAAGTAAGTGAAGTTCAGGTAAATAAAATATGATTGAAATTATGATGACAATATGTGTTAATGAAAAATTATGACAAAAATTATGAAGGTAGTACATGAATAAGTTAAGTTTGAACTGGGCATCTATCTCACACAGTCTCCTAGTCTGCTTGCTTACAGTACTAACAGCAATGCTTTTTAAATCTTTCTTTTAGTCTGAAAGACCTTTTATCCTGTATAATATAAGAATTCTGCCATACGACATAGTAACAAAGACAATAAAGTAATAACAGCTAACACTCACTGAGCACTTAATATGGGTCAGGCACTGTGAGTGCTTTACGGAGATGATCTCATTCATTCTTCTCAACTCTCTGAGGTAGACACTATTATCATCCCCATTTTTCAAATACAGAAACTGATGTTTGGAGATTACCATATTTATTGGTTCTGGAATGTACCTTTTAATTTTACATTTTATAAATTCTAAAATGGAGATATATCTTCCAATTAGCGGCATCATAGATTCAAAGAAGTACAGTTAAATGTCTTTTCCAAGGCTGCACAGCCGGGAAATACTAGTAGGGGCTGGAATTCAGACACAAGTCAGTCTGACGCAGATCTCACACTTTGGCACTTCTGCTACACTGCCATTCTATCGTAAGAAACGAGGCTGAGAAACACATACCTCTGCCAAGCCCTCACAGAGGTAATCTGATGGGTGGACTGCTAAGGACCTGGGGTCCAAAAGCCTCATTTCCGATTCTGACTCAGCCATTACTGGGTATAATCTTGAATAAGTCAAGCAATAGGTATAGTCTTTCTGAGAGAAACTCAATCATGCAAAATAAGCCTTCTTCTAACCTCACAGGGCTGTTACAAAAAAATTTTTAAAGCATTTCTTTTAGGGCCGGCCCGTGGCTCACTTGGGAGAGTGCGGTGCTGATAACACCAAGGCCACGGGTTCGGATCCCATATAGGGATGGCCGGTTTGCTCACTGGGTGAGCGTGGTGCTGACAACACCAAGTCAAGGGTTAAGATCCCCTTACCGGTCATCTTTAAAAAAAAAAAAAGCATTTCTTTTAGAATACTATGTACATATTAGGTAAAGCTGAAGAGGATTCTAGAGAAACAAAGAAAAGACTCTGACTCTTGTAGTTAATTCTTTGTGTGATTATCTGTTTTTCAAGTCTGTAAGCTCCTGGAGGGCAGGAACTATGTCTGTCCTTTTCCATTCTGTATCTTATCACAGGCTAACCGCTTGATAACTAATTACTGGATGAATGGATCTGTGAATGGCATAAAGGTAAACTTCAATATTACAAATTTATCAACAATGTGAATAATTAATGCCATAGAACTGCAAACTAAAAAATGGTTAAAATGGTAAATTTTGTTCTGCATATTTTACAACCATTAAAAATTTTTTATAATTAAAAAAATACTCTATTATTTTGGTCCCCAACCTTCTGTATATAAGGAACTTTTTAAGAACAACAACAAAATATTGTGACTTCCACAGAATAATTGTTCTCCATTTACTGACAGAGGAAATAAGTAACTACCATGAACTCAGTAATGCTTTCAAATAAATTTGTATTTCAATTAAGCAAAACGGCATGTAGATACCCCTGAGTAATAGCTGCAAACACATCAGACACATGTTAATTTTTCAGATAGTAACATTTGCATGGACTCATGAGCCCCTTGTAATAATTGTGATCTCCCAGATGGCCCAGCCACTGGTAGGAACTAGCATATCTATCACTCCACTCCTTGTCCTCTGAATGGTTTGAAGAGTGAAAGGCTCCCTTTTCCTTTCACATTTTGCCTTTAATGACTCAGTGAAATGACCGATGGTATTGATACTGAAAAGTAGAACAAAGGAACAGAACAGTTCCATACAATTGTTCGTTAGTAACACCCAGAAGCTGGTATTGTAAAACTTGCCTTAAATTACCAAGGTACTTAGAATTCACTCTTCACTAAGAAGCAAGTAACCCTTCTATATCAAAGAATGTAATACCAAAAACATAAAACAGGGTTCATGTGAGTTACATCACATCCTTGCTTCTCAAAATGAAAGGGTGGTTGAAGATCACATAATCAACCCACTGCATCAGAACTGACACTCAATTCAAGCCCCAGAAGAGAAGCCTTCATACACTGAACCAGCAATGAAGCCACTCAGCAGCCATCCAACAAGCACTTAATAAGTGCCTGACAGGTACCATATCAGATTCTGGGAATACAGAGGAGGTAAGGTCCCCGCCTCTACTCTGACTAATAGAGTAGACAAAATGTGGAGATGGGGATTATAGAGAAGAGCTAGACAAAAGGAGAAAAATATGTTCTAGGCAAGAAAAGGAAAGAAAAGGCATCATGTACAGAATTAGAGTTAGGTTAAGAAAATAAGATATTTGGGGCAAAAATGAACAGTCCGTGGTGGTTATTACTGGTGATTATGCTCATGGGAAGAACAGAGTGGCTAGAGTCAGAACATGAAAGGATCTCAGTTTAGAATTAGTAGGGGCCACAGTAATAATTCAGGACAGGATTGACAATAGCCTCACATAAGGCTGAGGCAGGAAGAACAGGCAACAGAACAGATGGGCGACAGTTACAGGTTTGACTCCTTGGGGTTCTGCCATATAGGTGCAGGTGAAGAACATGGGGACAAGGGAGTAGAATGAATTAGTAATAAAGTGGTTGAGTCAAGGGTCAAAAACTGCACCAGCCAGCCGCCAAAAACTAAATACATAAATGTATACATACATATATACACACATACATACATAAGTGGTTGAAATGATGGACAATAAGATCTAATCTGGATAGGGAAAGACATAAATGTAGCAAGGAGGGAGCTGAAAGACAAAGAACATGAGGAAAAGGAACTGGAAATATGGGTAAGACCAAAGACACTATGCAGAAGCAGCAAGGGCATGAGAGTGCTGGGCTTGGGGTGAGGGATCTTACACTGGGGCCCACAGGCCTATGGGTAAAATTCAGGGGGGAACTTTGGGATGAAAATTACATTTATCTTCACAAAGCTTTAATTAAAATCTAGCACTTCCTTCAATTATGAATGTAAGCAACAAATCACATTTGTTGTATTAGCATTAGCAGTTCCTGTGACTTTGTCACCAACAGAAATCACCAATATCCTCATACCATTCATCTTATCACTGCTTCAAAATGATGATAGTTATTAGACTCACTGACAGATCTTGTTATTTAATGCAATCATTAAAAAGTGCATGAACTATATCACAAAAACCTTAATGATTATATTTCAATATAACCAACTTCTTTTCTAATCCTAAGTACTTCATTTTATGCATTAAAGAACACTAGTCTGAGAAAAAATCCATGAGCTTCACCAGACTGCCAAAGGCAACTATGGCACAAAAACACTTAAGGATTTTGGGTTAGAGGGTAGAAGGCTGGAGTTTCAGGCTTTGGAGTGGAGTACCCAGGGGATAATGATGCCCAGGTGATAGACATGGGTTGAGAGAGCATACAAATGGGTAGAGAAGAGGAAGTCAAAGAACTATGCAGCAATGGTGTGCAATAGGTTATCCATGTGGGCACTGAAAAGAAAGTGTATGAGGCAGTTTGTAAAATCTGATGAATGCATGGTATGACCAAAAGGCTGACTGTGATGTGGCTTAGGGGAAATTAGATGTCATAAGCCTCACACAAGGAGGGGTTTTTATACAAAGAAGCTAAGTATCAGGTCACTGGTCCTATTCTTTGTTCCTTTTATCTCTTCCAAATACCCCAAAATAGAACTCTTTGCCTCCTTCTACTCTGTCCCTCAAAAGTATTCTCCATTCCAACTCCTCTGTTTCAAAATAAATAAGGCCTGACCTTTTAATAAATCTGTAATCCTTGCCTTCCTACTCAGAGGTATGAATGACTTTAATCAAATAAACAGATTGCTTTCCTTCTAATCACCTATTGTGAAGTATGCATAAAGCAAATATATTTCACAGGGCCTGGTTTTCCAAAGCCTTGCAGTTTCAAATATCAACCTTGCAAAGGACAGGAAATTTTCCCCAGGCTATATAGTCTCTATTGTAAGATAACCAAAGCCTTGCAGTTTCAAATATTGACCTTGCAAAGGACAGGAAATTTTCCCCAGGCTATATAGTCTCTATTGTAAGATAAAAAATTGTAACACAGCAAGGTTGCTGACTCAAAGACAGACCGGTTACTGATTGATATGTAAAGATACTGGGAAATTGCTGTAAGAAGAGAATGTTTGCTAAAATCAAACTTTTGTTAGTGGATCAACTTAATTGCATTATAGAATGTCACCTGACTGAATGTTACCAGCTTCTATTGCTAAACTTGTTAAACTGTACTTAGCAAAAACCCCACCTGTGTTCTCTTCCTGTAACTTCCTGGTCTGGAGAATAAATGCAGGAAGAGAATCCCAATTTGTGGGTAATTTCCCAAATGGAAGGAATGCCCCTATCTTGAGGGTTCCAGGAGATTAACCCCTTTTCGGGGCTTCTCACTGCTCAGAAGAGATGGGCTTTGAGTAATCTTTCATGGCTCTGTCACCCAGGGGAAAAGGGGTGACAAATCCATGGGAGGTAAAGCAAGCAACACCTATGGAGAACAACTAGGAAATTTGATGGTGGGGAAGGTGAGAACAGAGTAATTTTAATGCTGAACACCTCTAAGGCAGTGTGATCTTCATGAAATCGATTCAGTGAGTTTCAACCAGCATTAAAAAATAAAATAAAATAGAATGGAAAATATTAGATTACATTGCACATAATAAAAGGTAAGTATTGTTCCAAGAATCTTTTATTTCTGTTACATACACAAATATACACACACACATACACATATTCTGAGTCTAATGTAAACACACTGCAGATCATGATCCAAAAAGCTTGAAAGCCATGGTTCTAAGGGTAACACCGTTCTCTCTGAAGAAAGAACCCTATGTGGGGGAAAAATCCAGGGCAAATACAAGAAGAATAAGGGGTGTGGGTCTGAACCTTCTCCTGGAGCCTACACTGCTAATGCCCTGCAATCATACCAGGTTCAAGTCCCAACTCTGCCACCTATGAGATTTGTGTGTGAGACCTGAGGTAAGTCACTGTACTACTGAGACTCCCTCATCTGTAAAATATGGCTAAAACACCTCCACCTTGCTTACTTCACAAGACAATTTTGAGGGTTAAATAAAATGATATAAAATCACTCTGCATACGATAAAGCATTGCACTGTTATTTTAAACTACAAAGTAAGAGTGATTAAAAAACTGTTACGAGCACCAAATATAATACCCAAATCATGGTTACCCTATTGTGTGTTAGACATGCCAAACACAGATGCTCCTCCACTTACAACATGATTAGGACCTGAAAAACCTATTACTGAGTCAAAAATATTTTAAGTTGAAAATGCATTTAATATAAGGATAAACCCATCATAAATTCAAAAAACCATAAATTGAACCACTGTAAGTCAAACCATCATTAAGTCAAACCACTGTTAAGCCTGGGACTGTCTGTATTAGAAGCTGTAGGGAAATACTAGAAAATTATTTTTTTAGATAAAAGGATCTGGGAAAGAGTACAAATAATAAAACTATCCATGTGGACAAAAATGTCTCAAGTAATATACATGAGAAAGTGGGCACAAGGAGTACTCAAAGCAAAAAAATCACTGGTTTTGATGGGTAAGAATTTCTAAGAGGTAAAATGAATTGATTTTGAAGGAATGGTGAAGCATATTTTCTCTTCACATCTTAAATGGCTTTCCATTACCAAAAGAAGCACCACTTGTTATCCTTCAAGCTTAGTTTAATATCACCTCCTCTAAAAAGCCTACTGCACACCCCAGCTGCTACCTCCAAATACCTCAAAAGCATACATTGTTTATACAACGTGGGGTAAAATGTATCACCCAACATAAAGTTAGGAAAGGAAGCATACTGGAAAGCAGAAAGCATATGTTTTATTTTTCTGCCTTTCCTTAAGTCTAGAACTTAAAAAGACCTGTTGGTTAAAACTAACCACTCAGCCTAGTGATGAGTATCTACTGGCATCAGCTCTTGAGCCTCTAGCCAACAGGAACTTATCTGTATGGGTAATTTAATTATAGACCACTTTCAGTAGATACAAATTGTATAAAGATCCAAACTTATATCACTGAACAGAATTCCAATATCCTAAAAAAAAAAAAAGAATTCCAATATCCTAAATAATATTTAATACCAGAGACATATCCTACAGGTTTAGGATTTTTCTGTTCCCACAAAATTTTTATAAGCAAATTAAGTTTTCTCTTCCTACTCTCCTTCTTTTAGATTGCAATTTCCTAAGGGTGAGAATAGTATCATTATTTGAACTTCCAACGTGTTCTGTTATTCGATAAATATATAAGAAACAAACAAAAATTCAGGGAGGGGGGATGACCTTTACCCTCACCCAACCCACAGATTGCTTACCTCTTGCAGTGTCAACAAAGTATTAAGGATAGCTGGTAGTGTAGTCTGGACAACTCCAAATCTATCTTCTGTAAATGATGCTGCTACTAAGTGAGACAGACCTCCAAGGGAAAAGAAAAAGAGACATTAAAAGTGAATCAAAATTAAGCAAATCTGTTTGCAATACATTTATCTGAGAAAGAATATAATCTGATTATAAAGAAAACTACAAATAGGGGGACTTCTGGTAAAGATGGAAGATTAGACGGTTCCTAGCATCGCTCTCTCCCACAAATTGACCAATGTGCAACTATTAAAAAGCAACAACAGGAGGCCCGAGAGCTGCACTGAAACAGGCAGGAGCCGCATGCCATGGGACCCCCAGCCCAGGCCACTGCCCACCACCCAGAGAGGCCTGAGAACCGCCAGGCCCACACACCCTGAGCCAGCCACACAGGAACAGGCAGGAGCCTTAGGACCTCCAGCCCAGGTCGGTCCCCACTGCTTAGAGAGGCCCAAGAGCTGCAAGGCCCACATGCCCAGAGTCAGCCATGCTGGAACAGGCAGGCACCATGGGACCCCCAGCCCAGGCCAGTCCATACTGCCCAGAATTGGCAGTCCTTTCAGGATCCAGGCCAGACATCAGGGTGGAACATGTGGACCGAGATACCCACTGCCACAATGACTAAGCACCAAAGGAAAAATACCAGAAATATGAAAAATCAAGAAAGTACATCGCCACCAAGGGAAAATAATAACTCTTAAGCTCTAGATCCTATAGAACAGGAAGTCCTTGAAATGACTGACAAGGAATTTCAAGCAACAATTCTAAGGAAACTAAATGAGATACAACAAAACTCAGACAACACAATGAAATGAGAATATACAGGATCTGAAAGAAGAAATATACGAAGAAATCAATGCCCTGAAAAAGAATGTAGCAGAGCTGGTAGAGCTGAAGGATTCATTCAACGAAATAAAAAAACACAACAGAGAGTCTAACCAGCAGGCTAGAACAAGCAGAAGAGAGAATTTCTGACCTTGAAGACAGGCTGTTTGAATTAACGCAGGTGGACCAGAAAAAAAGAAAAAAGAATTTAAAAAATTGAAGAAAATCTGTGAGAGATAACATACAACCTTAAGCACTCAAATATCTGAATCATGTTTATTCCAGACAGGGAAGAACAAGTAAATGGCATTGAAAACATATTCAACAAAATAATGGCAGAAAGCTTCCCAGGTATAGGGAAAGTCACATATCTTCAGATTCAGGAGGCCCAAAGATCCCCAAACATATTCAATCCAAAAAGGGTCTCTCCGGAGGCAAAATGGCGACGGGTCTGGAGCGCCCGCATCAGGAAACAGCGCGATCCTGAGAGCTGTGT